CGAGGTCGAAAGGCGAAACTCGAGCAGACCGTTGCCCGGACGTAGTACGGACTGGAAAAAGTGCACATGCTTACTCACGGGGCAAGTATTCAGGTTCGTTCGTCGTCTGGGATGCGTCTGACTCGTAGGCTAAGCCTCGACTGGTCGCTGAAAGCTTCGGCTACAACCGTTCGTCGTGGCTCCCACCTTTTCTCGCGGGCTTCTCTCCTCGCGATCGTAAAAGACGACGATGACGTCGCGCCAGGACGCGCTTCTCTCTCTCTCTCTCTCTCACACTCTCTTTTTCTCTCTTCTACTCGCTCACGACGCCGTATCCCTACCACCGTGTGTGTGCACAGCCCCGCGGTGAGGATTTTCTACGTACGGGCCTGTGAAAACGTACACCGCCGCGGAATTTATCTTTAGAATCGGCGACGCTTCGACGCCGATCGGCCCGCCGTTTATTTTCACGTCCTGGAGACCTCTTCTGGCCAACGCGGAGTCGCGAAATGGAGAACGCCGTTGGCAGACAATGGGTTCTTTCAGCTCCGGCACGTCGCGTTTATCCAGGGAAATTAAGGGCCCGGGTCTTTTACACCGTCCGAGGAAGAATCTCGCGGCCCCTGGACGGCCTCGGAAACAGCGAACCGAACGGGGACCAGCGCGTAGGAGAGGATGGGTCGTAACGGGACACGGTTCGCGAAATGTAACGCGATTATGGCGGTATCGAGACTGAGAAGAGGAAGACCAAGACGCCCGTAAGAGTTTAGAAAGGTCGCAGTTGGATAGAAAGCGAAGCGGCTCTGCGCGCTGGTAAAATTACGCTCGCGATTCCTTGATCTAGTTTCCCCATCTACCCATAGGTACCAAGATCAAAGTCAACGAGATCGTTGCAAGGTCCCTCGCGCGAGAAATCTCCTCAATCGCTGTAATCGCGACTTGAGATAACTAGAAATTCGTCGCTTTATCGCTATCGCGGATAATCGAGGAGGAACGATAAAGGAATGATTCATGACGACAGATAAATAAATAGATAAATTGACACGGTGCGAATCGTGATGTCAGTGCGCAGAACGAAAGCGAACCGCGCGAGAAGTTAAAATCCAGACCGGAAACTGCACGCGTGTGATGCCATCCGGAGAATCCTAATATTAGGCAGCGGCAGTTTTGGCATTGCGATTGCAGCCATCTCGCTCGATCTCCTTGAGTCAACTCGTGTCATGGTCAATCCGCAATGACTCGGACAACGCTTTTAGCCCGGTGGTTTGCGCAATTGTTACGAGATTCTGCCGAATAATTCGCCGGGCGCCGCAAAGATTCCCCATTTTTATGAAACTCGAGGTGTCAACGCGGATCGTTGGAAGATCGGCACGCGTTAGTTAGACTCGCGATCCAGACGTCCATTAGACTTCGCGACGAGCCTTTATATGGCAGTCGTCCGACCCGATGACTTAATTTTAACGGAACGTGTTCTCGACGAGGACGTCGAAAATTTCGCCGGACAATTTGTCGACGCGCGAAATCTTTTGCGTAAGTTTATCGGCCACCACATCTCGTGCATTCATCGGTCCGATTCGATACCGTAAAAGGAAAAAGTAGGTAAGGGTCCCTGCGCAGCCTTGACTCATATACCGTCTGTTTAAGTACTGGCTCGTGTGCGTTTACGAGCGTGCTTCTGAAATACCGATCGCCGGCTAAAAGTCAATGAGTACGTCCCGTGTGTTTACTCTGATATCGAATAGATCCAGTTGATACGGACATTACGACGAGTTTCATCCAAGTTTCATCCAAGTTTCATCCGTTCCCGTTGATTTTCCCCAATTTTCCTTAATCGCGAGGCAAAATAGTTGCTCGACGAGGATCGTGCAACGATCAGGACTGCTGCTAAAATAGCGATCTGGAAAGTCGAGGGAATGCTCGATTGCTTTAATGTTTCGATAATTCGGCGGAATTCGATGATTAAGCGAATCACGATCACGTTGCTGGAAGTTACTTTCGATTTCGTGGAACGCGCGTAGCGGCAGGGCTTATCGAATCGGTTATTACAGCGGTATATCGGCAATTAACAGGAAAGGGAACCTTGGAGTAACAATTAGGATGCTTATTATAAAGCAGTCCGTCATTATTTCAACGTACGCGTATACCGTCCTTAGTTAGTACTTACCTTATGCAGGATATATTGCACCGGCGAGGTCGAGGCACCTTCTGTCCTAATTCTACTGCATCGACATAAGCCTTTATAAGTAAGTTGAGTCACCTTCTCGTTAGCCCCTACTTTGTCATACACCTTAATTTCTCCGTCGCAACCGACGCGCATCGATCAATCGAATGAGACATGGGTGACAATCGAATGAACGCTGTTGGACCACGTATAAATTAAAATGAAAAAAAAAAGAAAAAAAAAGAAATATATTACATATTTTTATTTCTCGTCAACGGTATCGCAACTCACCTGTGCCTGAATCGAGCGTCGCTTAAACCTAAGAAAAGGACACGAATGAAAGAACGAGCGTAGAATAAGGTGCAACTTGAAGGAGTAATTTTCATCGCAAACTTTATTGTTACAACAGTTATTGCCAAAAGGAAGATCTCCCTCGAGGATCGAACGAAATCTTCCCACGTGGGACTCGGGACTTTGCACGAAGGGCTGTCGGCCCTTCGATAAATAAATAGAACGCAACAATAATTTATTCGTCCTTATATCGTACATTATCGCTGCGATCGGCCGTGTACAAGCGAAATGAGGTATCAGGATTGTGACTCTCGAGGAAAATGCAAGAGCGTGCACACGATCGCACGCGTCATAATAAATGCGTCGACGTACATGATAAACTTCGGCGTTTATGCCGATACGCGTGTGTGAGTGTGTATATATGCGCGAGTGTACGTGTACATATTTATAATATACAAACATATGTATATATACCTCTTTTTACACATGCACGTAATATCCTCTAGTTAAATATATACAGCAGTAACAACGCCATTTTCTTTTCTTCTCCATCTCGAGGAACGTCGCGGGAATCACTTGAACGACATTCAAGTGCACCGAGTTCCGACTCCACGATCCACGATTCCGTCTGTTCTCCATGGTAATACCCGCAGGCATATCAAGGCACAGCGACGTTTTATATCCGCCGAACCGTAAACGGAATCCGCCCTTTTCCTATTACCTCTTCCACGAGGATCCTGCTCTCGGCTTACAGCGGCCATTTAGTCCGTTCGAAACGGCCCCGAAGCGGATTCGAACGAATTAAACAGGCCCGAAGTACGTGCTACTTCGTAACGTAAAAGCAAGCTCACTCTCTCTCACTCTCTCTCTCTCTCTCTCACACACACACAGAAACGTTTAATCGTAGAATTACGAATTGAACACTGAAAAATTTTGCCCTCGACGAGGCTTAAAAACTCGCGTAACCGATGTCGCGACACCAGCGTGTGCGAATTTATTCGAAACGGTGATCCGATAAACAGCGCGATGGTGAATTGAAGATGCATTTTCGAAGGAGCACCATGATCCAAAGACGCGGACGATCGAAAATGGCGGACGAGCCTTCGCGGACTAACCGTGGTGTACAGGGCAAGGGTAAATATATTAACTCTCTAAATGTACAAGGCATGCACTGTACACGTATAGTCGCGGAATTGAATAATTTTCGTGATACTCGACTACGAGGAAAAGTTTAAAAATTTATTGCTTTCGAGCACGAGATTTCACTCGGCTCGCTTCGAGATTCTACGATATAGTTAATTCGATATAATTCGATATAATTCGAGACGTGTGCTGCGCGAGATAGTGGCATCGTACGCGTGGTATTCACGGTCGTCGAAGAAACGACGAACCCCGGCCGAAAAAAGGGGGGAAAAAATACAAGAAAAATAACAAAAAGAACAAAAAAGAAAAAGGAGAAAAGAAATAATAAACGAAGGAAAGAAACGCACGCAGTCTTGACGGGAGAGGATCTAAGAAATCGTGCGTCTGTCCATCGTCGTGTGTACATTGGAGCCAGAACGAGAGTCCTGCGAGGGAAACTGTAACTTCTTGGCGGTACATGGCAGTAAAGTGATAGAAAAATAAATAACTAGATCGTCTATCATCGATTCGAGACGTTTCTTTATTTTCGTATTCCTCTCGCCGGGAATCGGCTCGACTCGAACTTTTCGAGGAAAAAGCGGGAAAATCCGAGGCTAAAAAGGATAATGGCGTCTCGAATCGATCCCTTATGTGCTAATGCAAAAGCGTTCCGAAATTATCCTCGCGCAATAGCGTGACCGGTAAAATGGTTGCGTTAAAAAAATACAGTAAAAAGCGACGGAACTAAACGGGGCTGTACTCGATCGAGAATACAATATTGCAGACGCGAGTTTCACTTTTATTTTCTCCGTGGAAAAATTCGTGCGTTGCCGCGGAAGCGTAAATGTCGCTTCCGCGGTCGGATATTTTCGGCACACCCTATAAATATAGTTTAAAACGCGCGCGCTTATACGCCTGATTCCTGTTGAACTTACATCAACGTCCTATTGCGTTTTCACGTTAATTCCGGAGGGGGAGGGTTTGTAAATGCGCCAACAGCAAGGGTACACAGGCTCCGCAGTCAATTCTCTCTTACTCTCTCTCTCTCTCTCTCGTGCATACAAATTCGTTCGTTTGCATTTTTCTCTCACAGTTTGTCTACAACTATCTTCGTTTTTCGCCACGACTTACAGGTGGGTCTGAAACGGGTGCAAATAAAAGAAACCAGGATAAGAAAAAAATGTCGATGGAAGCAGAAAGAAAGAAACAAAGGAAGAAAAGAATGAGAGAGAAAAAAAAAGAAGAAAAAGAAAGTAAAAGACAAAGTGCGCCGAGGGTGAAAGGTATATGAACTGAACGAGGATCGGTCGAACCGATCCACTTTACGCGTTATACTTACGCGCAGTTCGCATGATCGACGGAATGGAAGATCGCAATTACCCCCGACGTACGAGAACGCGCTAATCGAGTCGTGATAACGAAGCGATAACAGAAACAGTCGTAAGAATAATAGTAACTGCTTTATTTAAATAATATCAGTAATCATGGTGATAGTAGTAATCATAATGATCATAATCGTAATATTATCGTATCGCCGAGGATTCTCGGTTAAGTGACAAATTTGTTCGTAACAGCACGGTTGAACGATCGCTTACGAATCATCGCGCGGTGAACCTTTTCGTATCGTTTAGCCTCGACGTTTCAACGTAACCTTATATATTTATACGTTTCCGTAACGTGGCTCTCGAACGGGAAAGCAGAAACGGACCGGCTGTCGCGACGACGTCCCTGGGGATGCTTTCTCCTCCTACCTCCTTTCCTTCGCGCAACGGAAATAGAAAAGGAAAACTCCCGTGGAATAGAAATCAGTAAAAATAGTGGCAGAACGCTCTCGGGCCGTGCTTAAATCGGAAACGCGACACTCGAGGGAAGATGGCGATGGCGCAACCGATCCATGACTGTCGTTCGCTCGCCGCTTTTCAACCCTTTAACCTGGCGATCGAATTTCAAACGAAGAATCGCGACGAAACTTCGATACGCAGCGACGAAACGCGAAAAACTAAGCTTTCATCGTGAAATCCATCATCCACGTGTCTCTGTCAATCGTACATGCTACTCGTTGACACGTGTCGCACGGTTAAAGGGTTGTTCATCCCTGCGACTGCGATCGTTCGTGATTGCCGTAGCAACCTCGCGTTTCTACGCGCAATCGAACATCTTCAATGGCACATTTGGTCTCGCGATTCCTCCACGATCGCAGAAATCTGCTCGAAATTTCACTCCACGGCTAAGAGGTTCGACTTTCGGGTAACAAACTCGAAAACCTGAGCTCGGGTAACGCGTCGCGTGATACCTAAACGGGGATGAATCGCGCTCCGTCGAAAGCTACTACAGTTTTGCCTACGAAATTTCGAAGAGGTCGAAGGAATAACTCGCAAAGTGTACTTCGAAGGAGAAAATAAAAAGAAAATCGAAGAAATCGAAAAAATGTCTCGCAGTTTCGTCGTATTCCCCGAGTGCTCTTCGGCTTCTTCTCCCGTTACGGTTCAGGGACCATCCTCGAGACTCTTTTGTCCTTCGTCGTTCGAATAAAAACGCTACGGGGGGTATACACTAGAACGCGCAGCAATATGAACAGCCAGAAAATCTCGAGGATCGGAGGGAAGAAGCTCGAAGAGAGGTAAAGTAGTTGCTGGAACGATCGCGAAACGAGCCGATCCATAAAATCGCCGTTATTCGTCCTGCCAATTCCTTGGTACGATTGTATCCACGTTACAAAATTATGCGAGGAGTCTATCCTCCTCTCGACCGTGATATTGCTTCGATAATTCCCTCAACGCGAGGTTTTATTTTCGTCTCTATCTTCTTATTCCACGATATATGATTATCAAAACGTATGACACGACGACGTTGATGCAACGAAAAAGAAAAAAGAAAACAAAAAGGAAATATATGAAAGACGAAGTCTTACGCGGTTAGTTAAGTAGACACTTAGACGCAAGGCTGATCTACAATCACGAGAGGATTAAGATCGAAGTTGTGTCCGAATATCGTGAAAACCGATTAAACAGGCACAGTCATCGTTTCGCTAAACTCTACGTCTCGATGATACTAGAAAAGGGAAGAGAAAAAAAAGAAAAAAATTTACCAAATAGTAAAAATAAGCTAAAAATATCGCTCGCCTAACGCTGAATATGAAAGGAAGAACTTTTTCTTAAGACGCTTTTCGCATGATCACAGATCTCGACGACAATCCTGCGTTTGCTTGCCGGTCACGCGATCCTAGATCTTTCGCATCCGCTCTCTACGCAGTATATTACCGCGATTGTTACCGCGCGTGTACGCGCGAGGCTCGTTGAATTGTTCCCGAAAGACCGCGATTCGTCTTACAGGTCCCGCTTCTTTCCGATCCTTATGGCTCCCGGCGCTGCACGCTCAACACTCTTTGCACGCTCCTCAAGATCGACACGTGGTTCGTGCTGGCGCGTTTGAAACTCGTTCTCACTTGTCTGTATCTCGAGAGGGACGTTCTCTGATCCACGAGATTCCTCGTCTTGCTGTTCGTTTCTCTCTGAATTCGAGCACAAAAAATTCTGTCAATCCTGCGGCCCCCGTTGGAGTTAGCTCTGCTCTTGTCACACCGGGGATTCCACCAACGAGCAAGGTAACCGGGTCTTTTGACAGACTGCCACGCGATTCCGTTTAATTCGATTCGATTCGATCCGATTCGTACGTGCTCTCTCGATGGTACGAATGAAAGTTTGGATCGAGTGTTAGCCGATTAGTTGCAATCGATACCAACCGATTGTGCAAAAGTGGGACGAGAAAACGGTGGAAAGGGGAACACACAAGCAGGAGAGACAGAACAGGGGACACAGATAAGTTAATCAAAGGCAGAAGGTTAATTTACAAGGAGCGAACACGATCCTCCGCAGAAAGCGACACACGAGACACAACGTGGTGTGCCGGTTTAATAGCCCGAGAATTGTTACCACGATCATCCACGAGTGTTCGGAATCGGCGACAAAGAGAAGCGTGAAAAGCGACGGATCTTCGACTTGACAGCGCTTAGAGAAATTCATCGACAACGATCCTCTTCGTTCGTTCGTTTCGGTTACGATTAGTTTTCCTGTATTCCCTGCTTTTCCTTTCTTTGCCTTTTCCCTGTCCGCGAATGATAGTCGATCGGCAGGGTGCGTTCTCCAAGCGCGTTTCCTTCGATCCGTCATTCGATCTCGTCTTAATCCTCCCTGATGCTTCTACTCGCAGCGACCAAAATCACTCGCTGAACTCGAACGTACGATGCGATATGTTAAAAAAATATCACGTTTTCAAGATCGCTAATGAACATTGGTACTGTCCTCTTGTGTAATAGCTACGATATACATATATATATAACAAGAATGATAATACGTGGTACCCCGTGAAAGAGTATCTCGAGTTAACAAAGCTACGATGTTTATCATGCTTCCGATTTCCCTCTTTTCCTACGGTCCTTCCTGTGTCCACGATTTACACATTTTTTTATTTATTTAACCTTTGAAACGAAGAGGAGAATACGCGAAGTGAGACTCCTAATTCTTGTCGAGTAATTGAGCTACGTTGCACGAGTCACGTTTCCTCTTTGAACATTGACAGTGAATGGGGATGATCGAATTTTCTGCTATCGAGTGAGTTCTATTGGATGAGACAATGATTGAAATAACTAGTCTTCTATCGAGTGCATAGAAAAATGTTTCAAATTAAATTTTTGTATTCGTTTTTCTTTATATTTTTCGACAGGGCCTGTCAAATCGAGGAGTTTCGATTTTTTCCTGTCCTATATTTTTGAAATGCTTCAACACTAGAACTATCAACCCAGTCATAATGACTGGTCCCAGAATTTTCCTTTTTGCAATCACCGAACAATTTTTTGAATTATTTCTTCGTATGTAATTAATACGCGTAGAATTACAGATGAAAGCTTATTAAAGTTTTCTTTATAACGAATTAATTTACCTAATCGTAACGTTACTAAAAATTCCAAGTTTCGGAAATTTTATCGTTTAGTTCGAGGAAACGCTTTTATTATGCTCACTAATTTTCACATCAGTCGTTGATGACAGCCACGGTGCCATTGACAAATCTATATTTTTTGACAGGACCTGTCAGGTCGATAAATTTCGATTTCTTCCTGTCCTATATTTTTGAAACGTTTTAAAATACAGGACATAATAAAATGGGTCTTAACGAATACGACAAATTTTTTGAACCATTTCTACATGCGTAATTAATACGCGTATAATTAGAGATGAAAGTTCATTTAAATATTCTCTACGAAAATTAATTTACCTAATCGTAACGTCATTAAAAATTCCCAGCTTCGGAAATTTTATCGTTCAGTTCGAGGAAACGCTTTTATTATGCTCACTAATTTTCGCATCAGTCGTTGATGACCGCCAAGGCGCCATTGACAAATTGCTTACCGATCGCACTGCCAGCACACACGTCAGTGTACGTGTTAATCGAGCATAAACGTCGATTTGTACTCGAAGAATTTTACACCGATTATCGAATTATCCGATTTTACTCGTACTCGCCTCGAACCGTTTTAATGGTTAAATCGTAAAACGGACGAGAAAACAGAAAACCGAGAAGAAAGAAAGACAAAACGAAATAATAAAAATACAAAAGGAATGACAAGACGTTCCTAATAATTGCTGATCATTGCGGAAGAAATTTCGAAAGTCGGCTTGCGTTGCTCGCGATAATGAACGAGAAGAAGCGAACAAACGTGCTAACTTACGAAACGAAGTGACTATTTCCCCCCCGCGCGAAAGTATAAAAATGGAAAAGAGAAAAAATGCAGAGAGCGAAAGACACGGTTAAATCTACGGAACAGGAAATCGAAAGAGGAACAACACGGGCAAGATCACCGAGATGCGACTAGATTTTCCCCACCGTTTCCCTAGATACGGCATACCGACCGTCAAAAGCGTTTCAATGAGGACAATATATCATATACGCGTGTGTACGTGTGTAATTGAACAACATTTTGGTTTTCTTTTCGAAAGGTTCACGATAACTTTCACTCCTATTAGCAACGCGTTTACATATTTTCCTTTTTCTTTGCTCTGCGACTACTGCAATATTTATATATATATATATATAAACTTTTCTTCATTCATATATATATATACATAAATACGTACACGTTATCCGTCAAACAGGGACTCCTTGTCAATCACTCTCGTCTATCGTATCACGTATAATACAGTTTGCGCAGTTATATTTATATTATGCATCGAAACGACCAGTGAATTCTAGGACCGATACCGAGCCTCGGAAGAATTTCGTTCAGCCTTTACGGAATACTCGCCGGAGCGATATCTCTGAAACCAAAGAATTTCCTTATCGAAATTTGTCGAGACTTCGGAAACGCAAACTCAAGCGTCGAGACGTAGCGTCGATAAAGCAAGTTTGTCGGCGGAACTCGAGATTCTATTTCGACAAATCGGAGAGGTTATGTCTCGGATACACGTTCGGTTAGGAGCACGTATCCAGAGTTACCGAAAACACGACACCGTTGTATTATATTATTTTCACGAGTGCTCCCACATTTCGATATCGTCCGAATACTCTATTCTGTTCGATTGGCTCGATAACGTTTCGGATTCTCGATCCTCCGAGGCTCGAACTCGTGCCAGAGGTCGCTGGCCGCGTCGACAAAATGGCGGTATACACGTTTCGTTTTATATGTGTACATATGTATAGGTTATGTATAATTACGTACAGAAGACAGACAGAAGGTGAGACACATATAGGTACATGTACACGACCGGTGGCTATATTATCGTAATAAAAACGGGATCGAGGACTGCGTCCTGATTAGATCGTGAGTATTATTTACATCTATTCCATTCGCGGCCGTGCCTCGTTTTCTATCCTCGGCTAGCGTATACGGGCTTTCCACCCCCCTCCGATACCCTCCTCTTAACGTTTACAATCAACTGACACGAGAGAAGAGGTAACTGTCAGATACGGTAAGAGGTAACGAGTAAATACCTAACCCCGAACGCCACTCGCAAAGCTCGGTTCATTCGATGATCGTACGATTTTACAGCTAGATATGCTAGATATGAACAAGCAACGAGAAAACGAGTTAATAGTAATAACGACACGCGTTTGTTTCTTTTCATTTCGTCGTGCACTTGCTCAAAAGCCTCTTCGTTCACCGGGGAATCATCGGAAGATCGTTAGGAGACCGTTAGGTCATCAGAAGACGACGGATAGTCAGGGAATGCTCGAACGAGGGTCTAGCTTGGTCTAACTTGGTCTAACTTGGTCTAACTTTGCACGGCTAAGTCCGAGGACGATCTTCCTAGGCGAAACACGTGGCTTTATTACGTTTAACTATCCGTCGATTGGAAATTCAATCGACGAGACCTGATATACAAAAGATAAATATCGGAACGGTATTTGGATGCTGAACGAGTATCGAGTATTATACAGTCCTCTAATACTGTAGGCCGAGTTTTATCACGGTGTGTAAGCTTCCTGGCCTCCTCGACGATCCCCATAGCTCGAGAACCGCCAATTTAGAATCGCCAATCCCTCGTGGATCGCTCGCGTTGCACGCGCCTATCTAAATCGTTCGCTTATCCCGTACGAGGTAAATGCGAGATTGACACACGTCGGATGATGAACGTTGCACTGACTCGCGAATCGAGACGAACCTGTTTGCCACTCGCATAACTGGAGGTGGTACGTTAAGTACGGAGTCGAATACGACGAGGTACCGCGGTGTGTGTGTGTGTGTGTGTGTGTACGTGACACGAGAACGCGAGAAGAAAGGAAAGGCACGACGCGACGTGTCGCTTTTCCCCATTTGCATCCATAATCCGTCTTGATTCGCGATCGAACGCTTCCCTCTACCACGCACTTTCTCCCGTTCGAGTCTCGTTTCACGTTTTTCGAAGATACGTCGCTACGACGGCGCACCAGGCCATATCCAAACGGCACGAACTGACGGAGGTTAGAGGGACGAGTCGCTTTGCATTCACTCGTGCTGCAGTATCTCCTGATTTGAGGAAATAGAGAAACCTTTCAGATAGTCTGATCTGCTCGCAGCGACGTGTCGCTTTTCCCCATTTGCATCCATAATCCGTCTTGATTCGCGATCGAACGCTTCCCTCTACCACGCACTTTCTCCCGTTCGAGTCTCGTTTCACGTTTTTCGAAGATACGTCGCTACGACGGCGCACCAGGCCATATCCAAACGGCACGAACTGACGGAGGTTAGAGGGACGAGTCGCTTTGCATTCACTCGTGCTGCAGTATCTCCTGATTTGAGGAAATAGAGAAACCTTTCAGATAGTCTGATCTGCTCGCGCGGTACGTTCCAAAGCGTTTGCGTCACTCTCGTCGAGTTTAAAATGTCAAACGACGAGTCGCCGGGTCACCGATCCTGCGCTTTTCTCACCATCCACACGGACCCGTGTAATTTTCCTCATTTTCTCTGTCTTTCCACCTATTCGGCTCCATGCTGTTTCGGTCAGGACGACCGTTTGCAATGCTTCGCCGACAGCCGGCCAATTCTCGTCGACATCGATACTGGGTTAATATGGAATTACCTGGCCGGCGTTTTACGCGGTTGTACGTGCTCGACATTCTTTAGCGTGTTGCAAACCCTCGCGAGCTTGTTTACCGCGTGAAAAATGCACGCACTCGCGAACCACGGGGAATAATCGCTGACGCTGACGAACCTCCGCGGCGGAGAAATTCGAGGATGCGTTCTCGATGTCGATGTCGATGTCGCAACCGGAGAATCGTTCGGAATTGCGTGGAGAAATGAGTCAAATGGGTCCCATACGAGGGACACGTCGGTTCGAATTCCTTCTTCGTTCGAAATCCCTTTTCGCCATTTACTCACCGAATTATCCGTCGCCGGTGACACTATAACCTCACTTTACGATCGTTTTGTCTCAAACATTACGAAAAACGGAAAGGTACGGACTCGCAGGTATGCACCTTCCCATCGAACGTACCTGGATCGGCGAGCAGGTAGTCGGGACTTTGAAGGAAACCGCGTTGCAATTTATAACACAGCGATTTCGAGCGAAGAATAGAACCCTCGCTACGCAATGTTACATTCCAATGACCAAAATGGAAAAAATCGTTTCAAGACTCGTCTAATGTTGCATGCAACTTCCTCTACAACGTATGCCGCAAGACGATCGAGCTGTGCTAGGATCTACGTCAAGATGCTGAGAGAAAAGAGAAAATATGGAAATCTAGATACCATGCATCCCCTTCGAACGATTCTCGCACTCGGATTGATCGGAAAGATGGCTGACGCGTGAGATCCGAAGAATCGTCGCTTTGGAACGTTCCGTGCGCGATCGAATCGGCGCTCCATTATGGATTCGACACGAAAGACAGGGACTCGACACAGACACGAGACGCAGACGAGACTAGAGACACGACGACTGAATGCTGACAAGAGGCGGGACCTCTTCGTCCTTTAGACGAGCGCGTTGCGCGGGTCCTCCGCTCGTCTTCGCGGCGCAGCTGACACGCGTCGCGACGCGTCGTCTGGGGGCTGTTATTAGTTACAAGAAACCCTCGGCCACTCGGGGGAAACATTTACACAGTCCGATCGATCGGTCACTGGGCTCTGATTGCACACTTACCGCCTCGAGGAATCGGTCGAGGTAGGTACGGCTGTGAGAATCGGAGATCGCGAGTTTAGCTTCGTGAGTGGACCATAACCGATCACTCTAAGCGTTTGCGAAGTGATCTCGATAATTTTGGTTCTTTTATCGCAAAGGTCAGCAACGTGGAACGATAAGCCTGGTGACATTTCTGTATATTGCACGGTAAACTGGTAAAATGACAGATTCATGTACGAAGGCTTTATTTCTCGCAATCGGATGAAGATAATAGTCAGTCAGTCCAGTGTGTGTAATGATTAATAAATTATTTTTAGGGTAACAGCAAAAATTTTTATTCCTAATTTTAAACAACTGTGTAAAATGAAAAATGAATAAATCTTTCCTAATGAAAATAATGCCGATCTTTGCTCTGCGATATTTCTCGACTCCGTTTGATAAATTTATAGTGGAATAATTGAAATTCGAGGACGATCTCCGAACTTCGCGACCGTACCTTTTCGAGTGACCAATCGTTCAAAGCTACGATTACCAACTTACCATTTCCGTAGTGAGACTGGCTAGCGCCTCCTCAACGGTGGCAGCGATCCTCCCGCCGTCATCCTGACGATGGCTACCCCTGATCGGCGTGGTCGGGCAACCTAAAATTATCGTTCATCGTCATAGTGCAAGAGATATTCGGTTCGTTGCAGCTGCTCGATCATCGGAGCGTGGATACGTGTTTGTCTAGCGGTAGTGTTCGGAGTCGAGTCGGCTATCTATGAAGAGAAACTTTTAATTGATAATACCCTCGAAAGGACCACCAAACACAATCGTCTCTTTTCCTCATGGGAAGAGGAAGATACGTAAAGCTTCTCCTCGCGAAACACCTACGATTCTCCACAAAATAAATAAAGATACGCGGCGATTTAAATTTCCTTAATTACCTCGTGTGGTCCTTTTGAGATTTCGCAATTGTCAAGATGCATCGATAAGAGAAAAGCGTGCATCGTTCTAATCGATGACTACGGGTGACAGTAAGCGTGTGTTAGCTATACCACGCAACGGGTATATATGCGAGTGTAGCGATAAAATGACAGAAAAGAAGGAACAGAGAAAGAGAAAAAATTGAAACTTATCTCGAGAGCACATCGGTTCTAGGCGATGTCCGTTCTTGCTTACGAGGCAACCACAGAGCAATTAGAAGCAAAAAGTGTGTACGGGGTTATAATGAGAGTGAGGTCTCGTGTAACTCTTCCTTTTGCAATTGTCGCTTTATTGTCGCTCTCGTTGTCGAGAAAAGAGGTGCTCGTTTGCTATGACAAGAGTTTCGAGGTCAGCTAGACAGAGCTACGAAAACGGTCGTTCGATTGTACTTGCCAAGAGAACAATTAGTCGATGGTATTTATGCAGAGGAACATCGAAGGTGCTCGTCAGCCTTTGCATCGCGTTAGCCTTAATCTTAGGCCTCAACGACGAGCACCTTCGTAGACGACACGTGATCCAAGGATCTAGGAGTATTTCCGTTGTTACGCTTAATCTCGAGATGACAATAACCTCCGGAGACATGGTCTAAGACGTATAGGCTATGAGATTAAACTTAGGCACTGAGATTTACCGTCGTTCGTTTTGGCTACCACGGTTTTCGCTCTTTTTCTGACTCGTCGATCGAATCGTCGCACGATCTAACCAATTTAACAGAAACCACGTGGTAGTACAATGCAACTGGCGAGAATCGAACGAACATCGCGTCTAATTGAACGCTTTCGAGTACCTCGTATAAATCAGTATCACAACGATGATTCCGCGATTAAATTAATCGTTAAATTAAATTATAGAGGTGAACGATGTATACCGTAGCAAACGGCCTAACTTAATTTGCTCTAAAACCGACTTAGTTCCGGTTTACGTAATAACGTTAGCACACAGAATGCAATCGATGTAGGTGGTTAACAACACGTATCGTTTGCCTCGCGATTACAGAATCCACAATATTTATCTCGACGATTATGCGTGTTATATACTGGAATTAGCCACTAACTACAACAGCACGTTCTATCTATTTTACACATTCATTAACACGGAGGGATTCCCCGTTTACAAAGAGCGGAAACAATATTCCGTCGTTACAAATGGGCCGACACAGTGCTTCGAAATACTCGGACAACGATGATACGATGCCCGACAATGATATACTTTCGCTCGTTTCAGAACACTACCTTAAATCATGGCACGTTAATCAGACTTCCGGTTGCTGGCGCGAGCGTCACGCTGATTGCCCGTAGCTTCGTACAACTCGTGCTCGGTTTAAAAATACCGCCTTATCGTTCAATTAACGCGCTCCTTTTGCTGTTTAATTAAACGACGCCTCGCGAGACGGTTCCGATAGACGATAATTGAACTTTTCCATAATAAATAAGGTTCCGAGCAATTCCTTACGTATGATTAATCGAGGCATCGATAAAGACGGAGCGAACGCGAAGTAATGCCGAGGAAACGAAATATTTCAATATCGTCGCGAAGACGTTGTTAATAGAAACGTTACACGATGCAACTAGAACCACCGCTTTGTTTAAAAAATACCCTATCGTCGTTGAATTATCGCGCTCGTTTCGCTACTTAATTGCACCAGCGATAAGTGATAATTACGCCTTCCCATTATAAAGAACACTGCGAGTGATTCCTTTAATACGGCTATTAGTACCATGAACCGAATAATACAAAGAGAACATTGTCTCCTCGACAAGAACGAGAAACGGCCGTTCGATTTGATCCAGATTGCACGTTCGGTTTCTAGAAACTTTACGTCATCCCACCTTCTCTCCTCGGGCCGGCATAAATCGACATGGCAATCAATGGGACGGTCACGCCCGATGCAAATCCTTTCGCCGCGAAGGTCGAAGAAGAAGAAGAAAGAGAAGAAGAAGAAGAAGAAGAAGAAGAAGAAGTAGGAGAAGAAGAATAAATAGTAGAAGAAGAGAACGAAGGAATCCTCGAGGCACGTGGTGAGAGCCTTCAGGTGGCGTAGTAGATGTTGAGCGGGTGCGGGAACTTACCTGCGTCACCGCTGCTGGAACTCTCGGTGAAGGACGGCGTGCCCTCTGTCCAGGTGGGCGTCGAGCCTTCCGCGCTACCTGCCGGTGGAGTCCACGTCAGACCACCGCCACCTCGACTGCTGCCACCGCTTTCCACGCTCAACGACGACTTCGTTTCCCTTCCGCCACTTCCGCTTCCGCTCCCGCTGCTCTCCAAGTGCACGTCGGATATGCTGAAACGTTCGTCAATAATCGGTATATTATCGTTCGCCGATGCTCCCTACGAATCGAAGGTCAAATTCGAAGGTAGACATTTCGCGAATAAAGATAAATTTCTGTTGGATTTGAGAAAAAAGGTTCGCTTACCTCACGGCATCGTGATAAGTCTTCGTGAGAGTGACGTGATGCACGACTTTGTTCTGCTTCGACTGAGCACTGCTCAGGCTGCTCGCTAAGATGGTGGTCGGTGCACCCTGTTGAAGTTGACCACCGGAAGCCAGGGTTTGGTCGTTCGAACGCACTGCATCGTCGAAGGGCGGGGGCGGGGTGGAACAAGTGGAAGGAAGGGTGCCACCTACAAAAAGCGCACTACAGTTAGCCCTAATGAACACGATATAGTGTGCTTGCTTCGTCGTCAAGGGTTCTAAGGGCAGGGCAGAGTCGTTAGCGTGGGAAGGCCTCGCCCAAGGAGGTCGAAAAAAAAAAGTATCTCGAACGATTTTTCGTGTTTTCTTTTTCTTTTTGCTTTCTAACAAATCTTGCCAATTCGATATCTTCTACGTTTGAACGGATATATCGACGTCGGTATCGAATCTTGGGCGAAATACTCGAGATACGATAATACAGGATGAAAATTTTGCGCGACTTTTGCACGTTGTTTTATCGATCTTAAATGTAATCTTTTCAACGGGATTGCGATTGGAGGGGATACGAGTACTACCTACGAGTACTTGACGCCGCGTTATGAACGTTTACAGCAAGCAGTCGATAAAAAAATATTACCAGCATTTCCAACGTTTATCGATACATCGAACGACACACAGGTGCGAGTCGTGATATCGTTGGCAAGCGTGATTCTTCAATTTCCAATCGTGCGTCGTGTCGATTATTTATATCGAACATGGTCGTTCGAGCGAGGGATCGAAACGTTAGAAATCTTCCAGCACTTCCTATTGAAGTCAGTTCGAATAAGCCATTCTAACATCGCGTAATGGTACAAAAGCTACGCTCTAAAGCTACAGCTTAGTTGCGTGTCTACAGAGGCGCACAAACAGCAAACTACTTAGCCAGCAAGTCACAAGGTAAATTGATCTTTCGCTCGAAGAAAGGTACTTGCACCGTAACTAGTAAACTCGTGTGAACGTCCCTTTATTGTGGTACAAAGAGCACACCGTACAAACACACCAACAAGATTCTGCGTTCCGTCGAGTAGACGGAACGATGATGCTTCAACGGGGGTTAGAGATTTTTAAACACTTTCTTCAGACATAGACGTAACCATACGTCTACCGTTTACAAAAATATCTCAACCTTTCTACTATCTCCCGAGTATCGTAAAAATTGATCCACCACTAGCGCTATGTTACAATATTTGCACCTATATCGAATCTCCTTAACCCCTTGCCCTACGATTTAACAATCGAAACGTAAGTCCCAAAACGTAAGCAGAACTACCGAGCCTTCGAGCCATTCCACGGCTCGGCAAATCTGTCTTAAAATGTACTAATCGCACCCCAAACGTGGGGTGTCGTACCTATTAGAAAAATATAATTCGGGAAAATTTAATTTAATAAATTACAATAAAAATACAAGTGAAAAATTAAAAACAAACAAATGATCGAAGCAACAAACAATAAATGTTAATAATTAAAGTGGGGCACATCGACGAACCATGGGCGTCACACGTGGTGTTTACATTTGGCCCGACCGCCGTACCACGAGCCTCACACGTGGCTGTAGGCCAAAGGGTTAAACCGAACGATTACGATGAACAACGTTTGTTTACGTTCGTGGTTGTTGGCACAACGTGGCGGAGATGCGACGACTATTCGAAAAATCGGTGCCTCAAAAATCATTTCCCGTAAGTTACGTCTATTCTTTGCCCTAAGAATGGCGAGGAGGTCGCTACGCATGCAGGGGTACACTCGAATCGAGACAAGAAAGAAATCAATCCTTACACGCACTACTTTCTCAAACGTGGAACCTCTGCGTGCCGAGGACAGTCGATCTCGACAATTCGAATGATACCTCGTCGACGCCATAAAATCGACGTTGAACCGGCATCGAGCTTAGAGTATATAATAAAACAGTAACGACCAAGTGCATCATCTAGTAGAAAATACATAAACATTAAACTACCGACTTCTTCGTTCTCATGGAAGTAACGGTGGGAGAAGTTCTTGTTCCCGGGTGAGTCTTAGTCAAACAGATCTGTTACAAACTGACACGCGTGAGAGATCGAGTGATGAGAGATGAAGAAACAGAAGAGTAACTTGGGGTGTATTTGCGCATGCAGGAGTGAGAGGTTTTTGGAATGCGTTAGTCGAATGTTTTCAAATCCCTAGTTGCATCTTCGTCGACATCTTCTCTCGAACTTTCGTCCATTTCCATCGCGTCGATTTTCCAAGATGGCTCCTGCTAGGCAGCGTGTTTGGTCCCTTCGTTGAAAATGGAAAGATCGGATATGCTTATCCTCTAGTTACACTCTCTTCGCTCGAGACCTTTCGTAGCCATACAGGAAAGAGGTATTGGGTACCAAAGTATTGGAAGAAGAACGAAATTCGTCCTTCGAGTTATCAAAATTGGTCACCGATTTTCGAGTCTCGAACTTGTCGTATTTACTCCTTTGTTCCCTGGTTTCGAGATCGGGCCTCGCTTCGATGCAAGTTTGTACAATTACAGGACTCTTTGCTACTTGTTTAGGTACCACCGACTGTTTCCTAACGTCCGAGTCCACTTTTTCCCTGGTGACGTCTAATTTCTCGTTCTCGATCAACTCTGAAGAATGAACAACTTCGGTACCCTTCAGCTGCATCGAAACTTCGTCGACTCTCGTGACAAAGAAGGTTCTCTTGTCACCTTTGAACACCATCCGATGTTCCTTATTTTCCAGTGATCGTACGTTAGCCGACTCTGTCAAAGCCTCGTTTCGACACGTGGTCCCATGAGAATTCGGCTTCCTGTTTTCCCCAACGTCCGCAATTTTATCGCCGATCCTCGGTGGCTCGATAAAAGGCTGCACTTTTGGCGAGGGTTCGGGAGCCAGCTTCTTCCTTCTCCGGACAGCGTTCTGCTTGATCTTCGTCAACAATTTACTGTCTCTCCTACGGTCCACGAACTCCCGGGGCTCGGTGTTCCTCTGCACGGCAACACTCTCCGGGCGATCTATCGGTCTGTCCACTCTGAAAGTCTCGATCCCTCGCTTATCGTCCGCGATCCGACTGTTCCGCTGCGAAAGCTGCGCCGACTTCGTGATGGTCGTGATCGAGGCCTCGAGCTCCGACTGCTTCCTCCTCATTCGCTCGTAATAGGTCTCCGAGTGCTTCTTGTCCTTCCGCGACATCTTGTAGTTCATTAATTCTGGTCTAGACGCGGGGTTCAAGAAGTACGTGAACTTGGCCATGTGTTCGGCCCTCGAGTCCGTGGTTCTCCGCTCGTCTTCAGCCGAATTAGACTGCGGATATGTGGGCGCTTTCGTTTCCCGAGGCCGCTTGAAGTTGCCCCTCTCGGGCCTGAACGGGTACGGGCTGGTTCTGATCACGTACGAGCCGTCGACCTTCTCCACGCTCACGAACTCGTCCTCCTCCTCGTACATGTCCTCGGCCGGCCAGTCGTTCCAGTAGAGCGGCGATTGTTCCTCGCGGATGCTCTCGAAGGCTGCTGCCACGTCGGCGGTTCGATCGCGGAGCGCCAGGCTGTCGTATCGCGAGGGTAGGTAGGCAGGAGTCGATGTACGATCATGCAACGCGCTGGTGTTCGCAACGGTGGATGTACAGGTGGTGGATGTATCGTTGTAGTCAGAGTAACAGTTTGCGGTGTTGTTAGCAGTCGCGGTGAACGAGGAGGTGGTGGTGGTAGCGGTGGTACCAGCAGCGGCAGAGAAGAAGAAAGAAGAAGAAGAGGTAGACGTAGTGGCAGAGTAGTTAGTGGTGGTGGTGGTAGTAGTAGTAGTAGTAGTAGTAGTGACGACGGGCACAGTAGAAACGGTAGAAATGTAATCGGGTGTGGGGAGATGGTGCAGGATGCTCGAACGTTCATGCAAGCGGTATCTCGTGATTATGGCTGCTTCGTCACCTCGGCTGGATGTCATCGAGGACGTCGAGGTGGCCGTTCCAGGGCCACGGTGTTCCTCGGAGGACCTCGTGGTCCTCGATTGACCTGTGCCTCTTGGCGGAACAGGAGGTGGAATCTTGCCGGAAGGTACCAGATTCGGATTCGGTGGACTGGCGGCGGTCCTGCCCTTCAGGACGGCCGGGTAGCTCGTGACCTTGGCCGCTGAGGTCGTCACTGGTTGCTCTTGATGAGATGGGCCTGGACCGGCGGCCAAGGTCAACGGAGGTGGACTCACTGGGCCGGCGGCGAAGTTAACCGGGGTGGAGATGGCGATGGGCGCGGAACCGGTCGACATCACGGTGCTGGTCGTGCTGATTGCAGCGTCTGTCGGGGTCACTGTTTTCGTGTCGTCCAGGGTTGCGTCGCCGTGCTCGCACGGCGTTGGCCGGAAACGGGTAGAATCGAATACGGGGGTTGCGTGTGCAGCAGCGACAACGGTCGTGAAGTCGGGGTAAAGAGACAGAGAGAGGCAGAGAGACGGGCAGACAGAAACAGAGAAGCTGGGTGAGTGAGGTCGCGTGTCGATCGAATCGCGTGTCGCGTTGCTTCGAGATCGTCCAACCGAAAGGTTCCGAGCTTCGTCTGCCATCATTTCCGCGGTGATTCCTTCGATTTCACCGGAAGTCGAGTAACCTTTCGGGAAACCCTGCGTCGTGTCGTTCTACACCGGTAATGACGACGAGTTATCGATCGAGATTTCGAAGCAAGGCGACATCGATTGTTAGAGAGAGAGAGAGAGAGAGAGA